ATCTGAAGTTAATCCCATTTTAATTGTTTTTCCTGTGAGTTTCTAGGCATGGATCATGACTTAAAACTAGCCTGAGGTTTGTTCAAGTGAGGCGAACACACAGCTCCTTCTGGTGAACACGTTTGTTGCCGAAATAGCTCAGTTGGGAGAGCGTCAGACTGAAGATCTGAAGGTCCCTGGTTCAATCCCGGGTTTCGGCATTGTGCTTTGATTATGTGTTAATGCCAGCAGCTAAAAAACTTACTAAAGTGTTGATCCAAAACCAGTATTGTTAACGACACGATTGATCTGTCCACCTCTAATTTCACTCACTACACCCTCATGATTCTTCTTTGAATCACTTGTGCTCCTGTGGCTTTGAAGGAACTTTATGTGTAAATGTGTCCTATAGCTGAAATATATTCTGATTGGTGAGAAGCTGTGAGAGCCTGTAAGGACTTACTGGTGTCTCCAGTTCAATGACAAATCCGGCGTTTATTTGGGTCACTCTGTAATTCTTCATTACAGGCCCGCTGAAACAGAAGAAACGTTGTGATGATTATATTACAGTTAAATTCTTCACATTGTGTTTTTGCTCAATGGGCTTTCACTGAGCAAAGTTCATATTACGTTCCACTTTCTGTCTGTCCCACTCAATACTGTTTTTATCGCCAGTTAGATCCTGGTGAACACTTCATTCTCTGTGTCCATGTGTCAGACTTACCAGTAATAATAATAATAAGGTGAATAAATTGTTTGTTGGCACCTTTCAAAGCACTCAAACTCATGTCACATTACGAAATTAGCAGGAACAATATTAAAATAGTTCTAAAACTCAGTAATATATATTATTGTAAGAGATATAAAACAAGACATTTATAGCTGATGTGCTGATGAAATCAGTCAGTACAGGAGAAAATTTATAATACAAAAAGATTAATGGTTAAAATTCAATAGTCATTTATAAGCAGGTATTCTGCATTCAGTGGTGTATATCAGTGGTTTGAATAGATTAGCAGACCTGGATGACACTTGTCTGAGGGTCAAGGCGTAGTTGTTGGGCATGGTGGACGGGCGAAGGATGATGCTTCCACACTCTGGGTTTTCCTCTAGCATCTTCTCAGCCTCCTTTCGAGTCACATCAAAGAAACACCTACAGGATTTAAAGGAAAAACAATGAGGCGCACTTTTATTTATTGTATTTTAACTGTTTTGAAGTACTTTTTAAAGTCTATCTGAGAATTTTCTGAACCTACAAATGATCAGTGTTTACACAAACAGGAGACAGTGCTTACTCAGCAATCTCAGAGCTCAATTTGTCTTTGGATGGCGGGCCTGAGAGGAAACCTGGTCGAGGTGGGAGCGGTGGACGTGACGATGGGGATTTTCTTTTTATTTCCTGAGCGAGAACCTCCTTCAGCTGTAACACCTGCCCAGGCATCAGCTGCAGCTTACTGGGAAGCTCCTTCTGCAAGGAAACACGAGCTCGACCTCAGTACCATTCAGATCATCTGTAACATGTTCAAAAATATATCCTGATATATTTTAAAAAATATATAAACGTTTATTCACTGGCCACTTTATCTGGCATCTTGCTCATTTACACCAATATCTAATCAGCCAATCAAATGGCAGCAACTCAGCACATTTTAGGCATGTGGACACAGTCAAGATAACCTGCTGAGGTTCAAACTGAGAAGGAAAAAAGAGGATTTAAGTGACTCTGACTTTGCTGTTGGTGCTGAATGGGCACGTCTGATTATTTCAGAAACTGCTGATCTTTTGGGATTTTCCCATATAGCTGACGGCTCATTACAACTAAGGCAGAAGAGCATCTTTGAATGCACAACACATCCAATCACAAAAGACAACACCAGGCGTTCAGCTACAAACAAGAAACTGAGGGTCATCATCACTGAACAGAAAAATGTTGCCTGGGTCTCGATTTCTGCTGTGCAGTAATGATGCGAAGGACTTCAGACTTTATTTGTATCAAGTGAACATTATTTAAATACCACTGTGTGTGTGTAATATCCTGTATAAATGGAAATAATTGTGCTGAATCAATTAGATCGGTGTGTGTTTGCTCACCTTGACCACAGTCAGGATGAAACCCCTCC